CTCTCTCTCTCTCTCTCTCTCTCTCTCTCTCTCTCTCTCTCTCTCTCTCTCTCTCTCTCTCTCTCTCTCTCTCTCTCTTCCCCCCCACTCCCTCCCTTTCCCACTCTCTTCTTTCTTCCCTCCCTGTCTCTGTTACGCACACTACCAGAGTCCAAAGATGCTGGCGACACATTACTCCCGAGTCAGATCTTGGCAGAAAGATAAGGGAGCCAAAGCCATGCATGAAATCGATAATATTTTATTTGGTCTCAGATTCTTCCCATAAAATCACAGACGCACACACACGCATACACACATAAAGACGCCCACGCATACATATATACATATACCTACACATACCATAGACGAACACACATACACATAGTATAGAGTGTATATGTATATCGTGTGGAGAGATAAATGCATTTGTTTCAAAGGCCCAACAAAAGCCAGCTGAGGAGGAGCGGCCTAGCGAGGGGCCGGCGCAGGAACAGGTGCTCCCTTATCAGCTGCTGAACACTTGCGTTCTTTGAATTTTTTTTTGGTTCCGTTTGTTTGGAGGAGCTGTAAACACGGTATCAAAATAGCCCGCGAAAACATTTTGCGTGATCGCTTCGGCCGCATATCTGTGCTGCAATTGCTCTTGTTGAGGAGTGAGCACTGCATTCCGTGAACAGCAATTGCAACAATGTTAATTTAACCACGAACCTTTTCAGTGCCAGTCGTTTGCTGAAGAGTTTGGAGCGCGCTTGGAAGACCCCGGCCAAATGTCACCGCGAAACAAGTATCTTACATCATTTGATTTATATATCTGATTCTACTGTATATTCAGCGCGTTGAGTCATCACGAGGAACTGGGTAGGTCGTGGCGCCCGCGCCGTCAGAGTCACGTTCTGGCCGCGGGCGGCCCGATGATTTCATTCGAGGGTGGGAGAGAGAATGCTCAGAAGGATGAACCGCGTCGTCTGAGGCCCGGGGGGGGGGGGGGGGGCGAGACTCCGAACAGATGGTTGGGGCAACGATGGGCCTTGGGCCACGTGTTCGCACGTACCTCCGGTCGCCAGGGTACGTGACTTAGGGCGTCGGGCATCATCAGATCTGCTGTATCAATATTCACGACCGATTAATTTGATGGACATTAGTTTTCTTGTGGCCATCACTAATCGCACTCGCACCACGGGGGCTGACACTGCCGGGGGCGTCGGCGGCGCTTCTGCCGGGGCCAGCACAGGCGCCGGCTGTGTTCGCCTGCAGCGCCTTCCTGCCTTCGGTGTTCGCTGTCCAAGGCCGTGAGTCATCGACGCGCCATCGGCTGCCAAACGCTGCCTTCCGCTTCCTTGTTTGGGACGCGACGGTGGGAATAAGGAAAACAATAACAGAATGATCTATTTCAGAAGTATTGCGAGGCGACGGCGAGAGACCTGTTGTGACGTATCCTGACCTCTCCCCTTCCTCTCGTCGTGACCTTTGACCTCTTGGCCATGGAGGATTGTAATGGGCAAGGTATCTGGGGATTCTGATTTCCACGCTTCTCTCTCTCTCTCTCTCTCTCCGTGCTTCCGTTGGGCAGCCGGTGCTTCCCTCCGCCTCCGCCAGTGCTCTCGGCCTCTCCCTCCGCACTCCGCTTCCCTCGGCCGTCGCTGGCCTCTCATGGCGCCTTTTTTCTTCGTTCCATCCTCTTCGAGTCGGCCCGGCGCTGTGGCCTCGAGCCGCGGTGCCTGCCTCGGCTCTGGGGGCGTCTTACTGTTTATTTGTGTTTCCAGCTGTTCTCTGCTATTTTCCTCTAGGCCTTGGTACCTTTTTTGAGCACAGGGAGCTCGGAATTCTGTTGGTAAGCTGTAGTAATGTCTCTAGTCGTGGGCAGAGCCAAGAAAGGCACGCACGGTTAAAAATGAGTGGAGAAATATTTTAAGTTGTCTAAAAGGGCGTCTCGTTGTAACAGATTAATATTTGCTTTATAAAACAGCTAGGGCAGAAAAAAGAACTGTCCATTAAAGTTAGTCAACGCCATTAGACGTTTTAATCACTCTGTTTTTAATGCGTGCCTTACTCTCTTTCTCGCGCACAGCTGAACATCCCTTCCCATTACCTGGGTGGTGGTGTATGGACAGGGGATAGGGAAAGGCCTACCCCTGTCTGCCTATGGGTCTGGGCATCAGGGGCAAAGCTTCCTTACGTTTTTTGGGGAAATACTTTTGCTTTTACTGAGCTTCGTGTTAAAGGAGCCCGTCTGCATTGCCTCTCTGTCTGTGTGTCTGCCTGTGTCTGTCACCATGTCTGTCCCTTTTTCTCTCGTACTCCTTAGCCCTGGTCTCTGTCAATCGCTGTCTCTTTCCCTCTCCTCTCCCCCTCTCTCACCCCCCCTCTCTCTCTCTCTCTCTCTCTCTCTCTCTCTCTCTCTCTCTCTCTCTCTCTCTCTCTCTCTCTCTCTCTCTCTCTCTCCCCCTCCCTCCTTCCTTCCTTCCCTCCTTCCTTCCCTCCCTCCTTCATTCCTTCCCTCCCTCCTTCCCTCCTTCCCTACCTCCCTCCCTCCCTCCCACCCTCCCTCCTTCCCTTCCTCCCTCCTTTCCTCCTTCCTTCCTTTCTTCCCTCCTTCCTTCCTTCCTTCCTTCCTTCCTTCCTTCCCTCCCTCCTTCCCTCCCTCCTTTCTTCCTTCCCTCTTTCCTTCCTTCCTTCCCTCCTTCCTTCCTTCCTTCCTTTCCTCCTTTCTTCCTTCCCTCCTTCCTTCCTTCCCTCCCTCTTTCCTTCCTTCCCTCCCTCCCTCCTTCCTTCCCTTCTCCCTTCCTTCCCTCCCTCCTTCCTTCCTTCCTTCCCTCCTTCCTTCCCTCCCTCCCTCCTTCCTTTCTTCCCTCCCTCCTTCCTTCCTTCCCTCCCTCCTTCCTTCCTTCCCTCCCTCCTTCCTTCTTTCCTTCCCTCCTTCCTTCTTTCCTTCCCTCCCTCCTTCCTTCCTTCCCTCCCTCCTTCCTTCCTTCCATCCCTCCTTCCTTCCTTCCCTCCCTCCTTCCTTCCTTCCCTCCCTCCTTTCTTCCTTCCCTCCCTCCTTCCTTCATTTCTTTCTTCCTTCCTTCCCTCCCTCCCTCCCTCCTTCCTTCCCTCCCTCCTTCCTTCCCTCCCTCCTTCCTTCCCTCCCTCCCTTCCCTCCTTCCTTCCTTCCCTCCTTCCTTCCTTCCCTCCTTCCTTCCCTCCCTCCTTCCTTCCATCCCTCCTTCCTTCCTTCATTCCCTCCTTCCTTCCTTCATTCCCTCCTTCCTTCCTTCATTCCCTCCTTCCTTCCTTCCCTCCTTCCTTCCCTCCGTCCCTCCTTCTTTCCCTCCCTCCCTCCTTCCTTCCCTCTTTCCTCCCTCCTTCCTTCCTTCCTTCCCTTCCTTCCCTCCCTCCCTTCCTTCCCTTCCTTCCTTCCCTCCCTTCCTTCCTTCCTTCCCTCCCTCCCTCCTTTTTCCCCTTCCCTCCTTTCCTCCCCCTCCCTCCTTTTATCCCCCTCCCTCCTTCCCTCCTTCCGTCCTCTCTCTCTCTCTTCGTCTCTTCTCTCCCCCAACTCATTTCTTCTTTCCCTCCTACTTATCTGTCTATCCTTCTATTTTCTTTCCTACATGTATTACCTGATCTCCCCCTCTCTCTCGTGCTTGCTTTGGGCGAAAGGTCCGACATAGTGATTCCCTTTTGAACCGCATTTCGGTCAGCTTAGGAACTTTTTAAAGCCTTACAGACGAACAAGTTGTTTTTGTTTTTTTTTCTCTCAGTATCATTATTTATGCATCCAGCAGCTACTAACTTGTAAGTATTTCGAGCTTGGTCTGGGCACAGTGTACTGGGATGTTATACAACAGGTGTGTTAGGAGCAGCTCAGGTGTCACAGACGAACTATGAACCAGTTTTGTGGACAAGCTTTGCCTCTTGCTATGCTGTGCTATGTGGCATTTCCCTCTCCAATGGGTTATGCCTGGGTAGAGTTGATGTGGTATTAAGGGCATTCGGGTGAAATAGACCCGGTGGTATAACGCTTTGTACAATCTGTAAATTCATGGAATCCGGAGTACATGCTACTTTTGTGTGTTGTACTGCCATCTCCTTTACTGTATGTTGTGCGTTAGTAGTGTTGTGTGTGTGTGTATGGAAGTTCACTGTTTACAGCATTTTTAATTATGCTTGAATTAGTAAGTAATGATAATGATGATATTAGTGACAACAGTGCAGATATTGATTGGAACGATAATAGAAATAATAACATTGATGGGGATAGCAATAAAAAAATAGTATTAATAATGGCGATGATGATACAATAATAAGAGTGACGTTAATGATGATAATAAGAGTATAGAAAATTATCATAATTATAATAATTAACTATTAAGATCATTATTTTTATAATCATTACTAAAATGATATTATAAGGTTAAGTTGATACTGGTATTTATTACCTTAATAATGAAGATTACAAAGATGACAGTATTGTAAACATTAATGATAACAATAATAATCATTAAAATAAAAAGTAGCTGCCCTACTGGTACTGCAAGGAAAACTTACGTGTCACGCAACCGTCGAGAGTGGACGCGATGGGACTTTCTGTAGTGTCGCTCAAATTTAAAATCAGATTAAAAACTCCGTTCCTTTGAATTTTAGATTTCGAACTCTGCATCAGTATACTGTCATCAGAATAATTCTTATGATTTTGTGAGCATGGGCGTTGTGGCAGATATCTAGCTGGGGCGTTTTTCCTTCTGCATTTATTTCCAGCCAATAAAGCTATTTATGGAAAGTCAACATAAAAAACGACAAAACAAAATGCTGCTTGCCCGACCCTCACAAACTTTTCCGATTAGAGGACCGCGCAGTCCGCCAGCTCGTCCGTGTGGCTGCAATGCTTGTTGTGTGGAAGAAATGCGATCACGATGCTGGGGTTTCTAGCGGCAGTAGTAAGCGTCTCAAAAGGAGATTGGCTGATGCTGAATGTCAGATCTGAGTGAGTTGTACGACCACAAGCCGACCATTTTCCCCTAAAGTGCATTTTCTCGTTTCAG